AGAACATATGTGCGCACAAGTGGTACCTGGTCTCCTTTCCCTTGGGTTGGGAGCCCCCAGTCCTGCCTTGCCCTGCAGCTTCTCAAGGAGCAGTCCGGTTTGGTCACAGTTAACAGTAAGTCCTTGATGTTGTGGTCACCGGAGGAACTGGTTCCTTCACACAGACGTATCTGCAGGTGTCGGGGGCTGTAGAGCCCAGACCTTCACAGGCCACATCCTGAATTCATGTATAAGCTCATACATGCATGTGTATATGCACACGTTCCAATGTGCACACATGTCCATCGTGTGAGGACAATGCCTGTGATGCTAACCAGGTGTGCACTGCCAGAGCTGATGTGTGGATCCTTGTAGGTGACGACCCTTCACCTCTGCAGGTTCACAGAGCCCCAGGGCAGGTACAGCCTTACACAGAACTTACGTCTAGTGGAACTTGTTCAGGCTGCCTTTGTGGCACCGAGTGGTTTTTTGTTTTGTTTGTTTGGGTTTTTTTTTGTTTTGTTTTTGAGACAAGGTTTCTCTGTGTAACAGCTCTGGCTGTCCTGGAACTTGTTGTGTAAATCAGGCTGGTCCTGAACTCACAGAGATCCACCTGCCTCTACCTCTCAAGTGCTGGGGTTAAAAAGGCATGTGATACCATTGCCTGGAATGAGTGGTTTTTATTTGTTTGCTCTGTCCATATCCTCCCGCAGCCTCTTGTAGCATGAATTCTAATTGGTCTTAATAATAAAAACCCAGAGTCAGATATCTGGATGAAAGCTGAAAGATCAGAGAAGCAGAGCAGCCAGCCACTAGACAGACTTCTTACCTCTACGAATTCTCGGATTGAAAGGGACCTGAGCTCCTGTCTCCTCCCGCCTCATATTCCTCTCTCTGCCCAGCCATATCACTTCTTGTCTTCACTTCCCTAGTGCTGGGATCAAAGATGTATGCCACCACTGCCTGGCTCTGTTTCACTTTTAGACTGGACCAATCTTGTGTAGCCCAGGGTGGCCTTGAACTCACAGAGATCCGTCTGCCTCTGCCTGGCCTCTGTGGTTATCTAGTAGCTAGCTCTGCCCTCTGAACTTCAGGCAAGCTTTATTTGTTAAAGCATAAACAAAATATCACCACAGCCTCTGGCAGCAGAAGCGCCTGAATCAAGTTCAGCTATGAGAGAAGGTGAGTTTTGTGTGCAGGAGTAGAGAGGCTTGACCTGGAGAATGTGTGACAGGTGTCCAGCCTTCCTGGTGTGCATACAAGCACATTTACAAGCTCAAATGCATGTCTACATGTGTACACACAATAATCACACACCTTCTACAAGGTCTCAGGCACTCTAGCCACAACCACTGATACTGATCCACACATATCCAAAGTCCTGGTGCAAGCGGAGGGCTGCGGCTACAAGCTAAAGGGCCCATGAAGTACAGTGAGTCTTGCAAGTGAGTCCTGACCCTTCCGCCTCAGCCTCCCACTCAGGGAGGGGATTTGCTGCTAGGCTACCAGAGGAGTCTGAGGAGTGGACTGTTCCATGGCTCCTCTGCCTATGGGGACTCATCAGAAGATAAGGGCTGAGTGAGATTTACACTTATGTCTCTGTTCTCTTTCTCAAAGCTCCCATCCACAGTGGCTCAGCCTACTGAGGCTGTTGTTCCTACACAGAAGAGGACCACGCTCTCCCGTCCCATGAACTGTTAGTTCACCAGCATGAATTGAATTTACCTATCAGGTCCCTGGGGACAAGGTGGTGCTATGGATACTGTGGTGGCTAGCCCGGAAGTCAGTTAGTGGCCAACCAAGAGCCTTCATCCACCCACAGACGCTTCTTGGTTTGCCTTCAGCTTTCCCAGGCACAGGTGGAGTATAGTCTGCAAGCTGGGCTAACATCTTCCAAGAACTCTGTCACAGCATGATACCCTCAAGTGCCACATCCTCTTTCTGCACGCAGCCTGGTCTGGCATTGGGCTGCTGAGCAGGAGTCACCCCGGTTTACCCACCTGGTGTCAGGCAGGGCTTGTCCTCTGGAGAGGGGTTGTGATGTAGGATCTGTCTCTGAAGTGAGGACATTCCTAGGAGAGTTGAAGGTGGAATGTAACTTGGCTTTTCCACAAGGTTAGTCAATGGGCACCTACGAGTTTTCCATCTACCCACAGTAGGGTGGTAGCCAGACCTCTTCCTGCTGGCCACTGAGATGAAAGAAGATGGAGCTGAAACTGCCCTACTCCTGTGCCCGACCCCACCCAAGCATGGAGCCAGGAGGAGGCAGGCTGTAGCTCACAGCAGCTCCAGAGGGATCCGAGTGGGAAGTGGGTCTGTTCCAGCTTCCTTCAGCAATCCTCAGTCTAACTACTCACCAGGAGCCACAATCTTTTACTTGGGGCACCCTGGGGTACTCTGGACCTGAACGCTAAGTATGGGGGATAATGACAAGGTACTATGTCAGTGTCAGGTAGAAGGAAGGCTGGGGACATGGGACCTTCACCAGTCGTGGGTAACTGCTTGGAAGAGGGAACACTGAAACTCGTTTGTTCTTGGACTTGTTTGTTGAGAGTACATGTAACAAAATGCAGTGGAGTTTTATATATTCATCTCACATCCTTCCACCTTGCAAAACTCACTTATTAGTCCTGATAATTTCTCAGTTCCTTGGAATTTATGCTACATAAAGTCATCTAATCATTACTTTGTTTTTCTTTTTTTTTTTTCTTATCTGGACACTAGATTAGTTTGTATTTTATTTTATGTGTGTGGGTATTTTGCCTTTATGTATCACCTGGGCACCGCATGTGTGTGTGCAATGTTTGTGGAGGCCAGAAGAAGGTGTCAGATTTCCTGGAACTGGAGCTATAGACAGCTGTGAGCTGCCAGGTGGGTGCTGAGAATTCAACCTGGGTCCCCTGGAAAAGCAGCCAGGCTCTTAAGCACTGAGCCATCTCTCCAGCCCATTAATTTTTTATTATTATATAGTTACCTTGACCACATCCTTTTTTAAAGATTTATTTATTATGTATAAAATGTTCTATCTGCATGCCAGAAGAGGGCACCAGATCTCATTATAGATGGTCATAAACCACCATGTGGTTGCTGGGAATTGAACTCACAACCTCTGGAAGAGCAGCCAGTGCTCTTAACCTCTGACCTTAACCTCTTAACCTTTTGACCACACTTTTAGTACAATGTTGAAAAGCAATGGGACCAGACATCCTTGCCTTCTTCCTGTTCTTAGAGGGAAAATGTTCGTTCAGCCTTTCACTTCTGACAGTATTAGCTGTAGGTTTTTCTTAGATGCCCTTTGTCAGGATTAGAAAGTTCCCTTCTGGCACGCCTTTACTCCCAGCATTCAGGAGGCAGAGGCAGGCGGATCTCTGTGAGGCCAGCCTGGTCTACAGAAAGAGTTCCAGGACAGCCAGGGCTACACAGAGAAACCCTGTCTCAAAAAAACAAAAACAACAAAACGAAGTTCCCTTCTGTTCCTAGTTTATTGAATATTGTTCTTATGAAGATTTAGATTTCAGCAAATGCTTTTTCTGTATCTGTTGAGATGATCATGGGATTTTGTTCCTTATCAGTATGGTGTGCTGAATTAATTGCCTTCAACTATTAAAGCAACCCTGAATTGCTGAGATAGATCAATCCGTCTTGTTCATGTTGTAGAAGCTTTTTACTTGGTGTTGGATTCAGTTTGCTAGCATCTTTGTTGAGAGTGTTTATCCCTATATCCAGAAGGGGATTTTGGACTGGGGATGTCACTCAGTTGGTAGACTGTCTACCTAGCATGATGAAGCCCTGAGCTCAATCCTCAGCACTGAACAAGCCAGGATGGTGATCCTAGCATGGAGTAGAGTCAGGGAGATCAGAGAGTTTGTATATGGTTAGTATTCTTGGAATCTAATACTGAAAGGCTGAGTTAGTTTAGTTGCAACAGCAGGTGGTTAAAACAGCTTGGACTAAGGTGAATTCTTCCGGGCTTGGGTTACTGGAGTCTGTGCAGAGACAGACATGGAAGGCAGAGGGCAGAGCAAAGCCACAGAAAGGTTGAGGCAGGGGCAGGACTGCATTAGGAAGCGTTTAAGTGTTGCTAGGTGTGATAGTGTACAGCAGTAATACCAGTACTTGGGAGGCTGAGGCAGGAGGATCCCAAGGTAGAGAGGATAGCCTGGGCTACAGAGTGAGACTCTCTCTCAACCCTATACCCCCCAAACAGGCAGAATTGTGTTTAGAATAAAGAAGTGATGGGAATGGCGTGTTGGCTGGAAGGTAATGAGGGGAAATTGGTGGAGGCAGAAGAGAGGCTTGCGAAGGGGAGAGATGTGGCCTGCTGAGAGGCAGTGGAGGAGGGGAGCCGCAGGGTGGCTGAGGAGGCGGCTTAGTGTTCTGGGTGAGATGACAGATGCATCCAGTGCACCGGCAGCCAGACGCTTTGAGTGAGAAAACTGCAGGGACTTCAAGGCTGCATGCAGTGGGAAGTGGTCTGGAGAGCTTGCCTGACACAGAGGCTTGGAAACCAGGGAGAAGTGCCTGGTGTGGGCAACTGGGTGGGCATGAAGCCTGAGGAGTATATCAGAGCGTCCACTGAAGGGCAAGTGTGCTGCCCTCTGTCACAGGTGGCCCGTCCTGGGGTGCAGCCCGTATTATGGTGGGAGATGGAGAAGAAAGGATGCCTAGGCGGTCAACAAGGGCTTTATCAGCCTTAGGCAGCCAGGGACACTCTTCTGGGACTGGTACCTAGTGTAACCCAAGTAGTTGAGAGCTGCCAAGGACTGGACCCCTGACTCCTTGGGGGAATTCTGTCCGGAGGGAGATCCATGGGGTGATATTGGCAAGGTGACATGATTGGGATTCTAGCAGAGGAAGTAAGGTACCATTTTACAGAAACTCATATCCAAGGGGTGAGCTGGATGGAGATCCACAGGTGGGAACTTCGGGATCCTCTGGGTTGGGGATGTGAGCCGGACTTCCTCATTTGCGTCGGTGGCTTCCTCGTTCGCCTAGATGGCTCTTGATTCTGGACTGTATAGGCACAAGTTTCCAGTACTTGTAGCCCACCACCCTCAGGGCAGTGGGTGGAGAAACTGACGTGCGGAGGGGCGGGTCCGCTTCCTCACCTGGCCCCTAGCCCTTACCCCGCCGCCCACGAGGGGAGGAGCCAGCGGCCGCCCCGGCCTTGGGGCTCTACGAGCATGGCGGGCCCGGGGTCGCGGCCACGGAGCTGGGGCTGGCGGGAGACTGGCTCTGGGCACGAGGCTGCGGCCGGTGGGCCCGGCCCGGGACTATGTCGCTGCGCACAAGGGAGGCGGGCGCTGGCCGGCCCCCGGAAGCCGGCTGTGCCCGCCGCGTGGACATCGTGAGTACTGATCCCGGAGCTCGGGATCTGGGACCCCAGCCTTGGGTTTGAGCACCCGCACTCACCTCAGACCCCCAGTCCACAGACCTGAGGCCCCAGCCTCTGCACCACGACCCGGGACCGCAAGTCCCTGGGGCCTCAGGAGCTGCTCCAGCTTCCACCCAGAACAAAGGCGAGCGTGGGCCCGCCACAGCTGGCTGATCGGGGGCTCCAAGCCTGACGCCGGGTCTGTCCATCTGCCAGCACCTCCGCTGGATGGGCGGAGGTGGGGGGCACCCTCCTCTCGCCTCACTGGTGGGCTGGGACCCGCGGTCCCCTCATGGCGCTGAGCGGGGGGTGTGGTCGCGCCATTGTTCCAAACCTCCGCCTCTGTTTCAGGACCAATGGCCCTGATCTTGCCTCTGCTCCTGCTGGCCTGGACCACGGGCCGATGCGTTTGGGTGTTTATGGATCTGGGGTGTGTGTGTTGGGTGGGGGGGAGGTAGCCAACTGACCCTTTCAGAGGCCAAGCTGAGGCAGCCTTGTGAATTAATTCCCTAACACGTATTTGATGGAGTGAGCCTGACAGTTGACAGGCGCTTGATTGATTTCCATCCTTTTCTCTGAGTTTTCTAACGCTCTGGATCTCCCTGCCTCAGCCTTCCGAATGCTGAGCTTACAGGCTTGAGCCATCCAGGGCCTGCAGTGTTTTCTGCGTATATATTTGGGGGTTGGCACTATAGTAATAGGAGTCCCAGCAGCCTGCCCTTTTGGATCTGTCCCTAGCCACCCCACCTTCTTCAGAGCAAGCCACTGACTTTGCCCCATTGCATCTCCTCAGGAGTCCTGATGGGGTGAGTGGTGGTACTGATGAAACAGTGCCAGTGTAGGGGGCAGGTGTGACTGGTACCTGGGGTTCCTCACAGAAAGGAGCTTCCGGGCGCTGATACCCTGGACTGATGACGTGGTGGATACTAGCAAACCTGCCAAATGGTTCTCATGGCACTGATGACAAGGAGTCTGCTCTGCCCTCCCATTTTATAGCTCTAACAACTGAGGCTGGAGATCCTCCAGAAAGCCAAACTCAGAACCTTGGGTAGCCATGGCATAAGGCCTGATGGACCCAAGTTAGGGTTTCCTGAGTTCAGTCATTACTACCCCAGCCTTTATGGGGCTATAAGCTCCATGAACTCATGATGCTCAAAGGATAATGCTCAGCATCCTGGCGTTAAGTATGTGGCCAAGAGGATTGGGGACTGGCTGTGTAGCACTGTCACCCCGAGAGTCTCACTCAGAAGCCTGGAGACTTAAGAAGAGTTTCCTCCTCCACTGATCTGACCCTCCTAACTGCCTTCTAGATCTCAGAAATGTCCTCCCAGGATCCTCCACCAGGCTGTTCCCTGCTGCCTACCCCAACTGAGTCCTTTCTCTTTTGCTTCAATTGCAGCTTCATGGAGGCTGAGGAGATGCATTGGCCTGTCCCCATGAAAGCCATTGGTGCCCAGAATCTGCTGACCATGCCTGGTGGTGTGACCAAGGCTGGCTACCTGCATAAGAAGGGTGGCACCCAGCTGCAACTGCTCAAATGTGAGTCTCTGAATCATGGGACTCTCCAAGGGAGGACATAATCCTGCTTCTCCTGCTTTAATGGGTCTTCTGGGATTTCTTTCCCTTTTCTGGCAGCTGGCACACCGAGTGAACCTGATGTCAGTTTCCTTAGCCTGGACCTTGTCAGGACATCCAACATAGTATAGCTAGGCAAAGAGATAGGATGAGCATTTGGTATACAGTTCTGACCATGAGAGCTTCAGTCTGCAGCCAAGGCCTGAAGGACCTCAGGGGGACCTGATAGATCCGGCCCCTCAATGCTGGTCTTGCCTTGTGTGTGTTGTGGGTGAATTGATTGGTCATGTGGCACAGAATGAACCCATGTGCTAGATCAGGGGCCAGCTGAACGAGTGCCAGGAGGCTGAAAGCGAAGAGTACTACAGCCTTGCCCAGCTCTGATCAGCCGTGGACACTCCATGTTTTTGCCCCTGCAGTGCCCTGTGCTGGGGACTCCCTGCCCCTCTGTTGCCTAGCTGAGATGCTCTAGGCTGCAACACTGGACTCTGTGCACATCAATTATACTATGTATGGACAGCCTCCAAGGAAGAGCCATAACTAAGCTTACCCCAGGCCTTGGTGGGCGCTGTTCTGGACGGGAACAGTAGAGCTAGAGCCCAGCTCCATACCTGGCTCTCATCAACCAGCTCTGGGTGCCTTAGCCCTGCTCTCCTTGCCCTGCCAGTTCCTTGCCTGCCCCAACAGCCCTATTGCTCTAAGCAAGGCTGCCGTGGCCTTCTTAGGCCTCTGGTCCAGGCTCCACCCTTTCTTACTGTCCCTTGAGACCTCAATCGACCCCTTTTCTTTGTGTGGCCAGGCCTTCCCCAGAGTGGTGTCCCAAGACTGGCCAGTGGGCCAGTGAACTTGTCTGTATTTGACCCCACAGAAAACCCTAGGGAGGGGCAGCACACCAGCCCAGCTTCCTGCTCTACCCCTCTGCTGTCTCAGAGGTCTGGTCGAAAGTTGTCTAGGGCCTCTGGGGAGAGCCCCAGAGTGGAGCTGACTGGTGGCTCTGTGGCTCACCCCTGCTGCTGCATTGTCCCCAGGGCCCCTACGCTTCGTGATCATCCACAAGCGCTGCATCTACTACTTCAAGAGTAGCACATCTGCCTCTCCGCAGGGTGCCTTCTCCCTGAGTGGCTACAACCGGTGAGTGTCCATCCCGTCTGCTGACCAACCCCCCGTGACGATTGTTTCCCTCTCATCCTACACCACAGGGCCCATCCCTAGCTTTCCCGAGAAGGCTTTCATCTGCTTGTGGGATGTCACCTCATATTCTGGCCTTTGCTGAGGGCAGGGGGTGGGATAATATGTGTAGGGTGAAGCTTTTATTAGGGCAACTAGACTAATGGGCAGGTATACCCTGAGCTAATGCCCACATGTTGACCTGCTGGTCATCCTGAGTTTATCCTGTGGCCTTGGGGGCTGTAGGGAGCCAGGTCCTATGCCCTGTAGCATTAGTTTGAGCCTTTCACCACCCCATAAAGGGCCCAGTCCCTTCTGCTTATTCTAAAGTTGCTCTGGGCTCCTGCTTCCCCTGACTATAGCCTTGATGAGCTAGGCTTGCCGAAGTAGCCAGGCCAGGTCCCTGGTCCAGTCCTAGGCACTAGCTAATCAAAGCTCTCTCCCTAGTCACTATGCCCAGACCGGTGGCCCTCCTGCTGTGCCAGCCAAGCCATGAACTCAGCCCATTGACAGATGTAACTGGGCCCCAAGGATTGTCCAGCCCATTTGGTAGGCTGAGCCTGAGAGGCCCTGGCCAGGACCTGTGATAGGCCAGGCGGGTACCCTGCCCAAGTGCTCAGCCAGCAGGACTCCCCCATGTAGACAGATGTCTGAGAAAGCCCTGCATCTGAGAGCAGGCCACAGAGCAGAGAGGCAGTCCAGGGGCTGCATGGGACAGAGCTGGGGAGTAGTATCTGTATGAAATGACACTGATGAGCAATGAGAGTGATGGGACCATCTCTGAGCTCTGCACACTGCTCCCCTGGGAAATCCTCACAGACCCAGCACCTTCCTGTGCTCGCTCGTACTCTGCTGCTCCCCTGAAACATCTAGATATTCTACCGAGAGCATGAGCAGGCAGAGACTGTCCAGATTTGCCCGTATTCTCCAGGGCATGATGCTGAGTGCCGAAATCAATTCAGAGGTGAGGTTGATGAGCCCATTTCTTGAGATTGGACAATCTGGTGACTTTTGGCAATGTGCCCTCAGAGTGATGCGGGCAGCGGAGGAGACAACATCCAACAACGTCTTCCCATTCAAGATCATTCACATCAGCAAGAAGCATCGCACGTGGTTCTTCTCAGCCTCCTCTGAGGATGAGCGCAAGGTGACCGAGTGTAGCAGGGCCTCAGGAGCCTGAAGTGGCACACCGATCACCAGGATCTGGCCTCCCATCACCTCTAGGCTAGGACCCAGAGGGGAAAGGCTTGGTTGGTGTATGGGTAGCCAGGTGGATTAGGCCCACAGCCTGGTGCCTGTACACACCATGAGAATGTGCCAGCAGGGGAGAGCCCCAGAAGGGCTGAGGGGCAGCTTGCAGCCCCAGGAGGGTGATTTCATCTCTGAGCCACACAGTCTAGGCCGGACCTAGCTAGGTTTCTCTCCCTGGACCTTGGTGGTTATTGCACGGGAGCTAGACAGTGGTGGGCAGAGGGTGAAGTGGGACCCCATTCTGGGCAGCATCATTCTTACTGTGGCTGCTCCTGACCCACAGAGCTGGATGGCCTTGCTACGCAAGGAAATCGGCCACTTCCATGAGAAGAAGGAGCTACCTCTAGAAACCAGGTACGCCAAGGGATGTGATGGGTGGGCGATAGGCCCTAGGGCTTCTTGGCTTCTAGGACTCCCTTCCAGTCCCTGGGGGCTTGGCCTATAACCACTTCCATAAAGGCTTTTGTGGAGGTGCCAGGCAAGCTTCATGTGTGTGGAAGTACATGCTGCTGACATTGTGTGCATGGTGTGCATGCACCGTCTCTGTTCTTGTCAGTCTCCAGCTGTCTGTCCCACTCTGTTGTACTTACTTGTAACTCCTGTTTGGGGGCTCATACGTGCCTTTTTCCCTCCCCTATTGTGGAGGCCCAGCATTTCCAGCTCAGAGCTTTGGATTCCCAATTCCCTGTGTCCACTTTGTCCCTTGGGAGTTCAGTCAGTCCTGGTCTCTGCATCCTCACCTGTGAGATGGTCTAGCAAACAACAGGGACTTTCTAGGGGACATACACCAGTCCTATCATAGTCAGTGAAACTGTGATCCAGAGAGGGTTGGGCAACCCCAAGGCTGCCCTGAGGTTCTGGACTGAATCCAGAGCTCCTGGCCATCGGTCTAGCCTGGCATCTTGTAACATCTCAGCCCAGGGTTGACTGAGCCTCCTTGGACAGGAGGTAGACATGTGGACCCAGCTCTGAGGCATCTAGCCAGTCAGGGTTGCACAAACCACGGTGAGGCAGGAAGGTGGCACCCATAGGTGATCCCAAGCCTCCAGTCCCTATGTCTGTCCTTGAGCCACATGTATATATACGTCCAAATGTCTTTCTATATGACATTTGTGTTCTTTTGTCTATATGAGGTGTGTGAGGGGTTGTCCTTGTATCTGTGTGTGTTCATATCTGTGTGTGCCCATGCGTCCCCAAGTGGATGTCAACATCTGAGGTGTCTGTTGGGGGTGTGTGTGTGCACAGGTCACTCACTACATGTGAGTTCAAGGAGACCACTAGTCTAGTGCTCATTACCTGTTCCCTGCTCTGGGTTTCAGTGACTCTAGCTCAGACACGGACAGCTTTTATGGTGCAGTTGAACGACCTATAGATATCAGCCTCTCTCCATACCCCACAGACAACGAAGGTAAGACCATCTCTGCACCATGTATCCACTTGACTGCTGACAGTGAACCCACTTGGGCTGCCTAGAAGGAGAGAAATGCATGGTTTAGCTTTGCTCCCTGCCCTGTCCCCTGGCAGAGTGATGTGGCTTCTCTGCCTCTGACCTCCAGCAGTGTGAGTTCAGGTTTCAAATGCTACCTCCTCCTCGTCCTCAACCCCATGCCTCCTGAGTGCCCTGTTCTCATGGGTGGAGCACTGTGCCAAAGCACAGTGGGCCATGCCATCTTGTTCTGCATGCAACGGACCTGGGCTATATTGTGTCTCATCTTCCATTCACTACGTGTAGACTATGAACATGAAGATGAGGATGACTCGTACTTGGAACCTGACTCCCCGGGGCCCATGAAGCTTGAGGGTAGGTAGGGTAGCTGGGTCTGGGGGTCTCTGGTGGGTCGAGACTGGGGACTGGAACTAAGAACGGAGCCTCTCTTACACTGGTGGGTCTTTCTGTTTGGTTGGTTTTTGAGACAGGGTCTCTCTGTAGCCCTGGCTGTCCTGAATCTCTCCTGACCAGACTGACTTCACACTCAGAGATCTGCCTGTCTCTGCCTCCTGAGAACGGAATTAAAGTCTTATACCACCATGCCTAGAAGGCTGTGGGTCTTGCTCTGGGTGGTTTCTGTTTCCTTTCCGTGATCCAGGTGTTCAGATGTTCAGGGATGATTGGCTTTGCCTGTCCGCTCCTGCCACTGCCCTGGTTAATTGTGTGGATGGAGGGTCAGGTGAAGCTGTGGGTGGTCCTGGAGGCTGAGACTGAAAATAAAGGGACATCGAGAAGGGGGGTGGTCCGAGGCAGGTCCATTACCATGGCAACAAGTTCCCTGTGGACCATAGCTATAGAGCAGGCTGACTACTGTGGCCTCCGTGTCCACCGCACCACCTGAAACAGTCCTGGGGCAGATGAGTGTACAGACAGTCATATGTGTGAGTGACAGGGAAGGCCAGGGCTGGGTAGGAAGGGCGCGTCCCTGTCCTGCCCTCTGACCTTTACCTCTTTATTCCTTGTACTTTCCACGCTTCCTCCTCTCAGAACACCCCAGCCTTGTCCTGTCCATCATTATGTCTTGGGAGTGAGGGTCCACCTTCTATTCCCATCCTCCAGTGCCTTGACCTTTGCTTCCCCATGCTCTCCTTTCACCTTCCTCCTGCTGGTTGTAGGCACTGGACCTTACTCCCTTCCCTGGGGTCCACTCTAGTGACACCCTTCAGGTACTAGACCATGCCTTTTATTTCCTATTCCCACACCTCCTTGCCTCAGGCCTCAACTTGACCACCAAAGAGTGGGAGAGTGAAGAGTCTCTGCCTTGAGTGTAGATAGACACATGCAGAGTCCCTGCAGCCTCCACTGAACACTCCGACACTCTCCCTCCTCCTCTCTAGACCCCCCTGCTCATCACTGGCCTCATGCCCCCACATGCCTGGCGCTCTGTCCTTCTTGCTCTTCTGTGTCCTGTGTTTACCTCTTTTTTTTTTTTTTTTTTTTTTTTTGGTTTTTCGAGACAGGGTTTCTCTGTGTAGCTTTGCACCTGTCCTGGAACTCACTTGGTAGCCCAGGCTGGCCTCGAACTCACAGAGATCCGCCTGGCTCTGCCTCCCGAGTGCTGGGATTAAAGGCGTGCGCCACCACCGCCCAGCTCTGTGTTTACCTCTTGAGGGTCACCCCTCCACTCCTCCTTGTGACTGAGTGATACCTGGGCCTCAGGCCTCGTTCCTATCATTCCCACTGATCCTGGGCCTGCTCTCCTGATGGCCCGTATGACATCTGGGCTAGATGTCACACAGTGCCTTTAGCTTGTTATAAACACAGGCTTTCAACTTCATGCTAGTGGTTCTGACCCTTCCTGCTCACCTCTTCGTTCAGAATTCACCCTTCCCCCTTGCTCAGGTGAAGGCCTGAGAATCCCCATTCTGCTCACTTTACCCTGTGGGAACCTTGATAGCTCTGTATGTGACATCGAGGCTGTAGGAACTCTGTCTGGATTGCCTTCAGGGGGATGGATGGAAAGGGCCAGGTAGCACTGGTGGTCTGGACCCAGGGAAAGCTGGGTGGAGGGCTAGATATTGGCTATTAGGTGGGGCAAGGATGGAACCATGAAGGATGCAATCTGAATCATCTGCTGCTGGCCGCCTGAAGGTAGGGCCATGAGGGGTGCATTCCTGGTTGGCGCCTGCCGCCTGTTGCTAGTACAGGGTTGTGGTGGTCCAGCCTCTATGTGATGCCAACTTGCTTTGTGTGTGTGTGTGTGTGTTTGTGTATGTTCTGCAGATTCCCTGACACATCCACCAGCCTACCCACCACCCCCTGTGCCCGTACCTCGGAAGCCAGCCTTCTCTGACTTGCCCCGTGCCCACTCCTTCACCTCCAAAAGCCCAAGCCCCTTACTTCCACCCCCACCCCCTAAGCGAAGCCTTCCGGATGCTGGCCCTGCCCTTGAGGATGCTAAGAAGGACCCGTTGGGCTTGCGGCGAATAGAGCCTGGCCTCAGGGTGCCTGCTACCCCTCGGAGGATGAGTGACCCTCCACTGGGCAATGCACCCACCATGCCCAGCCTCCGGAAACCTTGCTTCCGAGACAGTGTGAACCCCAGCCCGGAACCCTGGACCCCTGGCCATGGGACTAGCTCTGTCTCCAGCTCTGCCGCCATGGCCGTGGCCACCTCAAGGAACTGTGACAAACTCAAGTCCTTCCACCTGTCTTCCCGAGGGCCGCCCACGTCTGAGCCCCCACCTGTGCCTGCCAATAAGCCCAAGTTCCTGAAGATAACTGAAGAAGCCTCCCCGAGGGAGGCAGCCAAGCCTGGACTCTTTGTGCCCCCTGTGGCCCCCAGGCCTCCCGTGCAGAAGATGCCCATCCCTGAGGCTACAGTTCGGCCTGTGGTGCTGCCTAGACCGGAAAAGACACCTCTCCCCAACCTCCAGTGAGTCTGGCTAGGGTAGTGCCTCTGCCTGCCAGCCAGTAGGTTCCCTTAACCCAGTCTATTCTCTATCCAGTACCCCTTACATTCTGAGGGGAAGCATCAGGAACAGGAGGGAAGGTTTTCCTCACCACCCCAGTCTCCCCTACTCCTGGCTGATCCAGGGGTACAGGTGAAGTCCACCCTTGCCCATCGTGATGTGGGTTTATGTCTCAGGCCATGTATGACTTCCGTTAATTCTCCCCAAAGGCCTGAAGATTAGGCTCAAGAGGACCACCTGCTGCTGCCTATGCAGTGGACTGGACTGTTACCATAGGTGTCTCTTGGGGTCAGATTGCACTGTTCTGCCTCTTTCCATCTCTTCACCCCCTCATAGCTTTGAGAGAACTGTGACTTTGCCAGAGTCCCAAAGACAATCAATAGTAGTTCCTGGGCCCTGGCAGTGCCCAGTGCACTTGTCCACTATATGAGAACACCTGAGCTCAGGTGCTCACCTGTATTAATGGCAGTCCTGATTTCCAAGTTGGGCTTTCAGACCTGTGGTAACTCCTGCCTCCTTTGGACAGTGAGCACGAGTCTCCGAGCTCTGCTGTCCTGAGCAGTTACAGCCACAGGGCCAGAGAAGGCTGGCACCAAGATGTTGATGCTAAGTGGGAACATGTGTGGAGGGGAGGAAGGAGTGACCTGTCTGTGTCTGAGGGTGATCATATTCTTGTCTTCCTCCTTATTGCTCCAGGCGATCCCCCCCTGACGGACAGAGTTTCAGGAGTTTCTCCTTTGAAAAGGCCCGACAGCCCTCACAGGCTGACCCTGGCGAGGAGGACTCAGATGAGGACTATGAGAAGGCAAGACGGAGTGGAGGGTCCAGGTCCCACCCAGTCAGCAAGTGGGCAGACATGGGAGAGCTATAGGCCAGGGGCCCTCGCTGGCTATCCTGAACAAGGGCTCCATAACTCTAGATTTGAGGGAGGTGATACCATGCAGAGTACTGTATCCTGATGCAGGAGGCAGCCATTTGGGGGAGCAGTGATATCTGGAGGGTTCACTCACGCTTTGAAAGTGACCCCTGTTGACCTCTTTCAGGTGCCGCTGCCTAACTCTGTGTTTGTCAACACCACAGAATCCTGTGAGGTAGAAAGGTTAGTGCGCGCACGGTGCTTCTTGTCCTTGCTGTGACAGTGTGAGGTCCCTTGTCCCCCTTACTCACTTTGGTGTTGGGCAAGCCCAAGCTCAAGCATGTGGCCCGAGAGAGGAAATGTGATAGCAGTGGGTCTGAATGGGTTGTTGTTGTTGTTATTTTCATAAGCCCCTCTGCTTAAATCCTCTATTACAACCTGAAACAAGAGTGGGCCGAAAGCCGCGTAGTAGAGGGGGGCTGGAAGGTACTTAGGAAAGCTGGCTGTCTAGGAGGTCCACCCACCAACACGGCTGTTTTACTTTAGGTTGTTCAAAGCTACGAATCCCCGTGGAGAGCCTCAGGATGGGCTGTATTGCATTCGGAACTCCTCCACCAAGTCAGGGAAGGTAGGCTGCTGCTGCAGGGCAGCTCTGCCACCAGAGCCCGCTCTCTTCTTAGTTGGCACCTCAACGGAATTCTTTCTTTGGGGTCCTTGCCCAGCAGCACCCTCTCTCTGTTCCCAAAATGATTTCTACAAATTGGGGGTGACTATGGTCGCCTTCCAATGGGGCCGTAGAGCGTGGATGAGGACGGGGTTTGTGCAGAGGAATAGCGAGGCCATGTGGGGTAGTAGAACTAGCAAGAGGTTGAGTGTCCAAGTGTTAACATGATACCTCATCCACTTCACTCATGTAAGAGATGGTTCCAGCTACTTAGGTCTCACCAGGGGCTCTGTAAGGGCAGAGGGACCCCCAGGGGGAGGGGCTGTCTGTGCAGGTGACTGCCGCTGGTCTATGACTCACAAGGGCTACAGCATCTGTTCTTTGAGTTGTTGCTATCCTCTTAGGCTTTGGCCAGTCCTTGCAGCCTCCTCTAAGCCTTCTGCTCCATATCTCCTTCCCTGTAGGTCTTGGTCGTGTGGGATGAGTCCTCGAACAAAGTGAGGAATTATCGCATCTTTGAGAAGGTGAGGGACTGGGCCCCGCTCTGAGGGTGGGGTGGGGACACTGGCCTCCAGGCTTAGCAAAAGCCAAGCGAGTCCCCCTTACAGGATGCGGCAGTGGGGAACGGGACTGGTACCTGCATAACATCAGCCCTGCCCTGTCCTTTGCCCTCTGTCTCCTCTGCATGGCCTCAGCCTCCCTCCTCTCCTAACCTTGCTTTAACCTTAGCTTACTCTAGAATGTTAGGCAGCTCTCCTTGGCCCTTGGTTTTATTCACAGACCGTGTCCTGAGAGCAGGTTTCACCTTGGACCCTTGGGGTTAATGCAAGAATACTAATGCTTGGGAACACAGTCGTGTTGTGAGCAGACAGGGAGGGGAGGGATGTGGACAGCTGGGAGCAAGCCTGGCTGGCTATCTGTGCCATTGTTACTGCTGACCTTCCCCTTTGAGAAAATGGGGGAAGGTGTAGGGGGTGGAGGAGGGGGGTATAGGCTTGAGGCACTGGGCTAGTCAGGCCCTGCTAGGCCTGATATCTTCTGCCCTTCTGCAGGATTCTAAGTTCTACCTGGAAGGTGAGGTTCTGTTTACAAGTGTGGGCAGCATGGTGGAGCACTACCACACTCATGTGCTGCCCAGCCACCAAAGCCTGTTGCTGCGGCACCCGTACGGCTACACTGGGCCCAGGTGATGTCCGTTCTACACAGCTGTTGGGTGGAAGCAGCCACGGGGCCACAGCCCTGCCACACAGATGGAGACCGGCTTGCATGGAAAGATGAGCAGGAATGGGCTTGACACCAGAACCTCATCAACAAGACTCCCAGCCTCAGTGAACAGGCTGGGTCCCAGGCTGGAGCAGGCCAAACTCCTAGAGGACTGGCTGGCTGATGTGGCCCATCCAGCCCCTCCATGTCCCACCTCTCAAGAATCCAGGGCCGACGACACAAAATCCGGTCCCCATAGCATACCCACCCTGTAGTGGGGGCTGGGACCAAGCAAGGCTAGGGTAGTTGGATAGGGCCGAAGGCTGGTCCTAGGACCTATAGAAATGCTAAGACACAGGCTCAAGGAGGGACCATCGCCTCTTAATAAATCAGAGATGACTTGTCTCAATGGCCAGGGTTTGATTGGCACTGAGGGAACAGCAGGCTGTACTGAACATCACCGATGTCGGGGTAAAGAGCTACTGACAGCAGCCCTGATGGGTGGTCTTCAGTCTTCTAGGGCACAAGCTGCTGAGTGAACTAACTGACTGGGGGACATAGCTCAATAATAGATCAGGATCCATCTGGAACAGTGTTGGCTGCAAACTTCAAAGTCCCAGTTAGCAGTTACTGAGTGCCTCCTATGTGACTGGCCTGGTGCTGGAGCTGGTTGTTGGCTGTGAGCAGCCCCTAGTCCGGCTTGGCAGAGCTTAGTCTAGAGCAGGTCAGTGAGTAGGAGGTGCTGGTGATGGTGCAGTGTTCTGAGAAGCTGTGCATGAAGGAGCCAGGAGCTTGGAATCCAGTGGGAGGGTCTGGGAAGACTTCTTACAGGAAGTGCTCGCTAGAGCAAAGTGGGGAGAGTGGGGTCTGGATGGGCCAAGGATGGCTGGGGATAGTCTCATCCAGATGCCCAAGTAGTTTGGGTGGTCCCAATTGGTCCCCTCATGAAATTCTGCCAGGCTACACCCTTGGTACAGCCATCTAGATTGGACTTTTTTGTGAAAATAAATGCATGTGGAGGTCAGGGCTGGCAAAGACCTTGGCATCATCTGGCCTTCACTGTACTTTATGTTGGAGAAGAAGAGTTTAATCTTTATTTTATTATTTTATGTGTATGAGTGTTTTGCCTACATGTATGTGTGTATTGTGTGTGTGCCTGGTTCCCCTGGGGGAATCAGAAGAGGATGTCAGATCTGGAACTAGAGTTATGAATGGTTGTGAGTTGCTACATGGATACTGAGAATTGAACCTGGGTCCTCTGGAAGAGCAGCCAGAGCTCCTTACTGCTGAGCCATCTCACTAGCCCTAGTGGAGAAGATTTTTGCATAGAACCCAGATCAAGGACTGTACTTGTGCCCAGAGGCCAGGGACTGCTGTCTAATGAGAAAGACTTTTGTTTGGAACCCCAAACTCCTGCTTTATTTTGGAGGTGCGTAGTTGACTAAGTGAGTCAAATTCGTGGAAGTAGGAGGCTTTGGCCCCAGAGCATCATGGGTGCAGTGAATGGCAGATACTGGATTCCAGTGGCCATCTGCTTCCAGGAACCAGAGTCCATCCATCTTGACAGATGTTTCCTTTCAGCCTGCCAGGGGAGAAGGATCAGGATGCCATGGTCAAATTTAGGTCACATGGAACAATCCTACAGGACCAGCCATTTTCTCCCTGCCTTCTGTCCTAAACTCAATCAGGAGCTGGGGCCATGTACACTGTAACTACAGCATCCATTTCTGTAAAATGTAAAACAGAACTGGATGAGAATAGGTTTTGATCCTGTGTCTAGGAATCTGCTGAGTGTGCACTGCAGCACAGTGCACTGTTTTGGGGACCAGCTCAATGGCTAACATGCCTTTCAAGCCCCAGGCTAGAGGATTTGGGGGTTCTTTGGCCCAGAGACATGTGATGGATCCTTTAGGCTGACTAAACAGTTGAGGTCTGTGGACATCCAAGGCCCACCTAGGGGTTTCGTACAGCTTTGTCTTATCTCTTGGGACTCTGGACCAGCTGGTGCAGCTGACCACCTCTTTGAACTGCCCCAAGTCCAGGGCCTCATTTGCAAGATTGTGTGCAGAGGCTGATGGGAGTCCTGGCCATGGTCCTACAGCGTGAAAGAGGAATTCATAATGTGGTGGTTACCATATATTGAACACTTCCAGCACTTGTGATGCTGAGCCGGAAAAGTAGACCCACTTTTAAGTGAGAGAACTGGGGCTCAGAGAAGCCTGAGTTCAAGCCCCAGCTTCGCTTCTCACTATCATGTGGATCAGTCACTGCTTTAGTGCTCTATGTCAAAACCATGACTCCTCATGGCTCCCTGACACTCCTCTTAGGCACCACTAATTATGGGAGTCTGGTCAGCTCTATTTACCCCCAGAGCTCTGAAGGTGCCCTCACCCACCCCAGGAGCCATAGCTCTGGGGGAAGAAATTGCTTTGCCTTCTGGTTCCCAGTGTGTGAGGCAGGGTTTGGGTGTGAGCAACAGGAGCTTCAGGTCCAGCCCTAAGGACAAATTTACACCACCCTTCCTTCCTTCCTTTCCTTTTTTTGGGGGGCGGGTTGTTCGTCTGTTTTTTTGAGACAGAGTTTCTTGGTATAGCCTTGGCTATCCTGGAACTAGCTCTGTAGACCAGGCTACACAGAGAGATCCACTTGCCTCTGCGTCTTGAGTGCTGGGATTAAAGGCAGGTACCACCACTGCCAGACCTTCTTTCTACTGAGAAAGAAAATGAAACCCAGGGCAGGTTCCCTGACTTGCCTGCTGTCATGATGTATTCAGAGATGGCTTCTGTTTGGGGCTTGAGGGAAGGAGGCATCATGGGAAGCAACCCTGAGTCAAGAGCTGGGGAGGAACACAGTTGTATGTTTCCTGTGTTTGATCTGAGAGTGTGGAGAGCCTTTCTGCCCTCTGGATTTCTCTCTCTCTCTCTCTCTCTCTCTCTCTCTCTCTCTCTCTCTCTCTCTCTCTCTCTCTCTCTCTCTCTCTCTTTTAGATTTTTGTCTAAAAGGATTTTCATTTACTGTTCATTGGTAAAAGGGTTTTCATTTACTGTTTACACTGATGGAACCCAGGTTCTTGCTGATGTTAGGCAAATATTCTACCACTGAGCTACATACAGCCCCAGCCCCATAGCTAGAAACTTATACAAGTACCAGTTGCTCCCACTCTGGACCATGTTGCTGTGAGTATCCCCTGTTGATGGAACCAAGATGCGGCTTCATTCCCAGTACAGATAGCCAGTTCAACCTAATGGGGAAGGGGCTTTTGAGAGTGATGGAAGCCCTGGAGGGGAATGACCTCGACAGTGCCAGGGCCTACAGAGCAGATCTAGAATGTGAACTAAATCCACATGTCTGGAGAAGGGGAAGGAGAGCATCACAGATCTGATCCTCACTGGACCCCTTGCACATATCCAACAAGCATCTACCTGCATCTTCTGTTCCCTCCACCTGGATAAGATGCCTGGCTATGGAGTCCTTGAGGAAACCTTTCCTTGGAGACAGGGTAGTGGCCCCTAGAAGTACCACAACACCACACTATGAAAGTATATGTGTGTGGTGGTTCCCTCAAGGTACTTTCCTGTCTCTCCCTGGAGGAGACTGGAGAGGTAGAGCAGACCTCTGACTCATCTATCCTTCTGCACATCCTTTGTGAGTGCCAAAGGAACCTTCACAGGCGTTCAGCTTCCTGACGGCTGCCCCTGCACTGCCTGAGCGCTATATCCCTCCCATGCCCTGAGCTGCTCTGAGCTGAGGCAACTCCTTTCCTTCTTCATTTCCTGCGAAATAAAACACACAGAAATGTAAATAAATTATAAATGTGCAGTGTGGCAAATTTCGAAGGGTGTCTCTACAGTGTCTAAGGACCAGTATCGAACACCCATGGGCCCTCCTTGTCACGGCCCTTCCCTCCTCAGCCCTGGCTCTGGTGAATCTCATGTTCTTGTTTTTCTGAAGAATCTTCACCACCCAGTTATTCACTCATCCCAGTATTTTCCTGTTTTTGTGTTTTGTAGCAACAGAATCATACAGATGCAGTCTTTGGCATCCAACTCCTTTGGCTCATCATCAGATTTATTCATGTTGCCACGCATAGCTAACTTTGTTCAAGTTCATTGTTGAAACAGTGCCATTGTATGACTGTATCACTGGCCGAAGAGCCATTTCACTGCAGATGGATGTCTGATAGTTTCCACTTTGGGACAATTCCAGACAGTGCTGCTAGCAGCCATCTTGCCCATGTTGCACACAAACATAATTTCTCTAGTGTTTGAGGGTCTTTCACTGCCTTCCAAGAATGCTGCTGAGAGAACTTCTTTGGCTCTATACCCTTGCCAGTGCTTGGGGCTGCCAGAACTTTTATTTTTGCCAGTCTAGGGGTGTAAAACTTTTTTATTTTACCTTTAGTTATTTAGTAATTAGGTTGAGAACAAGTTCATATGTTTATTAGCCATGCTAGTCTTCTAAAAATTTATTTAATTTTATTTTATGTGCATTGGTGTTTTTCTTGCATGTATGTCTGTATGAGGGTGTCAGATCCCCGGGAACTGGAGTTACAGAAAGTCTTGAGCTGCCATGTGAGAGCTGGGAATTGAACCTGAGTCTTCTGAAAGAGCTCTTAGCCACTGAGCCATCTCTCTAGCTCTGCCACGCTAATCTTGACTTCTGTGAAGTGCCTATGCAAATCTTGCCCATTTTTTACAGGCTACTCATCTTTTTCTTATTAATCAATAGGCTTTTTAAAAGACTTTTTTTTTTATGTGTTTGAGTGTTTTGTTTGTTTGTTGGTTGGTTGGTTTTTTGAGACAGGGTTTCTCTATGTAGCCCTGGCTGTCCTGGAACTTGCTCTGTAGACCAGACTGGCCTTGAACTTACAGAGATGCACCTGACTCTGCCTCCCCAAGTGCTAGGATTAAAAGTATGTGCTACCACTGTCCAGTGTGTTTAAGTGTTTTGTGTGAGTGTATGTGCACCATGTGTGTGCCTGCAGAGATCAGAAGAAGACATTGGATCCCCTGGAACTGGAATTATGGGTGGTTGTAAGCCTCCGTGTGGGTGCTGGGAACTGAACCCAGGTCTTCAGCAAGGGCAACTAGTGTCCTTAACCACTGAACTATCTCTCTGTCCCCCTCCTCTCCACTTTCTTTGAGAAAAGGTCTCACTTGATCAAGTCTTGGATCTACCCACCTCTGCCTCTCAAGAGGTAGGATTAACGGTGGGCACCACTACACGATGGTACTGATAGTCTTGATATTATCTGTGATATGATGTAAATATCTTCTCCAACTCTGGCTTATCTGGACTAACTGGATTAATTTTTATTGTTTCATTTTTTACTTTTGTTTTTCTGTCCTGGAGTAAAGCCCAGAGCTTTGTGTAGCACTTTACCGCTGGGTTACATTCCAACCCAATTCTTTTTTTTTTTTTTTTAAATTTTTTTAAAGATTTATTTATTTATTATGTATACAATATTCTGTCTGCATATATTTCTACACTCCAGAAAAGGGAATCAGATCTCATTACAGATGGTTGTGAGCCACCATGTGGGTTCTGGGAATTGAACTCAGGACCTCTGGAAGAGCTGCCAGTGTTCTTAACCTCTGAGCCATCTCTCCAGCCCCCAACCCAATTCTTAGCAAGATCTGCCTTCTCCACTCCCCAGTTCTGGGATTATAAGTGAATACCACCATGCCTGGCTTCTTGGAATTAAACTTAGGCCCACATGTATATATAGCAAATGCTTTTTACCAATTAAGCTATCTTTCTGGCCTCTGGTTTTTATTTTGAAGACCGTTGAAGGCCAGTGAGATGACTCCGTAGGATGCCTTCCACCAAGCCTGAGGATCTGAGTATATTCTCTGATTTGGTAGGGCAGTAGCTATACCACTGAAGAAAATCTCTCACCCTCCTCCAGCCACCATTAATTTTGCATGGATTCTCAGAGAGGGAGAGGTCTTGTGGGCTCCTCCCCCAAGACTAATTTATTTAAGTTAGTTAAATTGTTTGCTTATTTATTTTGAGATAGCCTCTGGAATTTGCTCCCAGGCTGGCATTAGACTCACAGATCTGCCTGCCTCTGCTACTTCAGTTCTGGAATTAAAGGCATGTACCACCATGCCCAGTTTATTTAAAAAAAATGTTTTTTGAAGGATAAGGTCTTATATGTTACCCAGGCTGTTATCAAAATCATGGGCTTAAATGATCCTCCTACCTCAGCTTCCTCAGTAATTGGGGATATAGATATTTGCTACTGCACACATATCTATATACTAATTATTACCATTCTTAGTATTTTTGACTATTTTGACAAGGTCTCCTATATCCTGGGCTGGCCTTAAACTTGTGTGTCTAAGGATGACTTTGAACTGCTGATGCTCTTGCCTCTACCTCTCAACTGCTGGGCTTATAGGTGTGTGCCCCATGGCTAGCCTCTATATACAGTTTTAAACCAGCTCATCATTTCTAATAACAACTCTTTGTTATTTTGATTGGAATCCATTACAGCTATGAACTGGCCTGGGAAAATTGACATAGTGTGAAAATTCATAATATTGTGTCTTCTGAGTCATAAATACTTCTCTGTTCCTTAGGGTCGTCTGTAAGATTTGGAAATAAGATGTTGTAATTTTGTCATTATGGTTTTACTTACAGTTTGTTAAGTTTGATCTGTTGGTACTTTGTATTTCTTTTTGTCTATTGTCAAATGTTTTCTTTATTTTTATTACAAAGTTATATTTTGTCTTAAAAAATTATTTTTATTTTATGTCTGTGACTGTATATATATATATATATATATATGTTAATATATATGTTAAGTGCATCATGTGTACGCAATGCCTATGGAGGCTGCAAGAGGGTGACGGATCCCCTGGAACTGGAGTTATGGATTGTGAGCCACCCTGAGGGTGCTGGGAACCCGACTCCTCTGCAAGAACAACAGCTCTTAAACCACTGAGCCATCTCTCCAGCCCGACATAGCACGTCTTTTTAACTGGAAGACTTCATTCATCTGTACCTGACCCCACAGCTCATTTTGTTGTTGTTGTTGTTGTTGTTTTCTTTTTCAAGACAGGATTTTTCTGTGTAGCCCAGGCTGTCCTGGAACTGTCTCTGTAGATCCCCACCTGCCTCTGAGTGCTGGGATTACAGATGTGCACCACCACCTCCCAGCTTGTGTTTCCTTTCTTACCCTTCTTTGCCACAGTCTTCTTTCATGTTGTCCAAGCTCCTCTTGAACTCTTGGGATCAAGAGATTCTTAGGGGGGCATGGTAGCACACGTCTTTTATCCCAGCACTTGGGAGGCAGATGCTGTTTGAGGCCAACCTAGTTTACAAATCCAGTTCCAGGACAGCCAGGGCTGTTACACAGATAAACCCTGTCTCAAAAAAACCAAACCAAACCAAACCAAAACAAAACAAAAAAGCAAAAAAGAAATTATCATGCCTCAGCCTCCCAAGTAGCTATAGCTGGGACTAGGGGCACCTACAAATGTGTGTAGCTTCTTTTTTTCAGTGGGGAGGAAGGGCAATTTTTTAAAATATAGCTTATTTTATTTTATGTGTGTGAATGTTTTGCCTGTTTGTGTGTCTGTGTATCGTATCATGTGTGTGTCTGGTGCTCACAGAGCCAGAAGAGGGCACTGGATCTACTGGAACTGGATTTCAAATGGTAGCAAGCCACCATATAGACGCTGAGAATCAAACCTGAGTCCTCAGGACAGTCAACCTCTTACTTACAGCCATCTCTCTAGCCCCATGATTTTGGTTTTAGAGACAGTGTCTTGCTATGTAACCCAAGCTGGTCTCTGACTTACTGTCGAGGCAGAGTTAGCTTTGAACTTATTAGTGATCCTCCTTCCTGTGACTCACAAATACTGGGATTACAGGTGTGCACCACTGCACCTGGCTGTTCTTTTTCTATTCTTTTAGATTGAGCAACTTT